CAGTGCGATTGGCACAGGACAGAGCAGAGTTTAGGGCTGTTGTACATAGGGTCGCTATGAGTTGCAAGCGACTCGATGGCACATAACAACAACAACAATAATTGATGACAGGACAGTTGAGTCTAGAAGTTACTGCAGTAATTTTATATACCTTCATTTTGAAATTACTCAAAATCAGCTTTAGATAGGATTCTTAAGAAGTTTAACAGGGATCATTCTGGGGACTGACTTTGTGTTTTTTGTTGTTCTCTCAACAGAATACATCCAGGCAGTGTCAGGACCATGTTTCAGAATTCACCCCTATTGCCTCTCTACAAAGCCCAAACTATCAAAGCAATGAACTCACCAGTTCCTCGGCCACGCGGTCTAGTTATCACTCTAAAAAAGTGATGTTAACATTCTGGAATAGCAAGGAGCATTTAGTACTCCCACCCATTTTTGGTCTTTCAAGTAATTATTGCAATTCCAGTACAAGACACTACTATCATGGGTCCAGTCTGGAAACACCTGTATGATGGACAGATCACCAATTCAAGCCTTTAAGAACTGCATTCTTGAGTGTATGTGTGTTAGTGTATGAGTCTGCTTTTTCCTTTGTTTTCAAAGGAGGAAAGAAATGTGTAACAGAACTTGTAAGAGGCGCTGAGCTTGACATTCTGGACTGCGCATTTTATCATTTCTTCCAGGTCTGGTGACTTCTCATATTTTCCTCTGTACATTTGGTTGGACAACCTTTTGGTAGGAGGACTTTCTGATCCTGTTAAGCCTGGTAGCAATGGAAGTCCTCTTTACCCCAAGTCAAGGATTTTGTGTCTTTACCCCCTGTCATCTTCTCTCATTGGTATTACTTGAAGAGACTAGCTCATCAAATGATCTGCATCTGGAGATCAGCAGTTCAACTTTGAACCAGAAGCAGTCACCTCATACATCCCCAGTGACATCATCTTAAGCATGTTCGACAGCTGTGTTCCTTTGATTTTACTCACCCTTGCCTCCTCCTGTGCTCTCTAGAACAAATTAGTGTTGTCTCTGCACTCGTTTTCTCTAGGAACTCCCTAATACTTCTGTTTTTTGAAATGGCCAAACTAGACATTCAAATAATTTAATCTTTTTTCCATTAAAATCATAGATCTTCCTTTTGCTTTGTTCATCTATTATATAGTGAAGCTGATTTTAATGGATTAAATCTGTTTTGTTGAGATGTTAATCCTATATGTTTATGAATATTTCTTAGTTTATGTCTTCTCTTTTTTCTATCACCTAGTTGCCTCTGTGAAAGGGAAAAAAAATCTGTATTTATGTGTGAGGAATAGATACTGTTGTTAATGTAAGCTTTTCCAATAGACATTTTGAGATATTTATCAATTACACTCCAAAGGATAAAGTTTACCTGTTTACTCTCTTTGGAAATATTTTTTTTATATGTTTTAGAGAAAGAAGTGTTGGTTTCCGGTATTGTAAGGAAACTGTAAGGGGGGCCCTGCTAATGCAATGAATGATTGTTCAACTGCTAACCATAAAATGATTGGCAGCTGGAACCCACCACCCGCTGGAAGAAGAAAACTATGGTGGTCTGCTGTGATAAGATTTAGCCTTGGAAACTATGTGCATTCCTACTCTGCCCTATAAAGTTGCTGTGAATCTGAATTAACAGCAGTGAGTTTTGAGTGTTAATCATCTGGCTACAATGGACATCTCTGGTAGTTCACATCTACTGGAAGCTGAAAGAAAGGTGGGCAATCCCCTCCTGTGCACTTTACAATCTTGGAAGCTCGATGAAGCATCAGGTATGAGTTGTGAATTGTAACGTGACAGCAGTGAGATGAGGTGAAAGATTTGATCGTATAGGGGCCCTTGTGGTATAGTGGTTATTTTTTTTATTCTACTGCTAACAAAAAGGTTGGCAGTTAGAGCACTAACTGCTTCTATAAAAATTTACAGCCCCGAAACCCTTGGGCAGTTCTACACTGACCTATAAGGTTGCTGTGAGCTGGAATCAACTCCATGGCAGTGGGCTTGGTTTCTTTCTTTTTTTTTTTTTTTTTTAATGGTAATGCTGGGATTTCCCCTTTAGCTCTAGTTTTGGAGAGATAACCACTAGAGGGTGTGCCTCTACCAAAATAGATTTCAGGCTGAACTGGCTAGAATAACAAGATGCCCTTTTATGGTTGGTTGGTTGGTTGGTTGGTTGGTTGTTTTTTTTAAAAAAAGCTGTTATCACCATCTTAAACTTTCCCCAGTCAGTGTTCTATAGTCATTACCAAACCTTGATTCTTCCACTCATGGATAGAGCCTTTATTTTAAGATTTCTGTCTAGAATGTCATTTGGGATGGGCAAACAATCAACAAGACTGTTCTACTCCCAATTTTTCCCCTTTTTCTGTAATATTCCTTTTTCTAAAGGAGCTCTGATGCTGCAGTGATTAAGTGCTCAGCCATTAACTGAAAGGTCAGGAGTGTAAAAGTCTGCAGTAGAGATACGTAGCGGTCTCCTTCTGTGAGGATCATAGCATTGGATATTTCTACCCTGTCCTGAGGGTTCACTAAGTTGGAATTGACTTCATGACAATGGGGTTGATTTTTTAGGTTTTTCTTTAAAATTTTATTTCTAAAAACACTCTGATAAGAACTTAATGGTCCTTAAATAAAATATCTCCATTTGAGATTGAAACTTAGACATTAAAATAAATGTCTTTTAAAACACATCACCCTAAAACTAAAAGGAAGCTCCTTACGCAGTAGTTGACTGCATATTATGAAAATTGGTAGTCTTTTATAGAGTGAACCCTGAGATCTAGTTCTGTGGTGTTTGATGTTAGATACTTCAGGAAGTTCAAATTTCCGTTTGATTATATAATGATTCACCTGTAGAATATGTATTTGAACTAAAAGATAAATATGTTCCTAAAGGAGGCTTAAAGTTAAGAACAGTGAAGTAGTTGTAAAAGTGAACTGTAAACACCATACCAAAGATTAAGATAATGAAGGTTTAACTTAGAATAATGGAGAAGACACCATTTTTTTGTCCTCAAGATTGTCTACTGTTTCATAAAAGCCCTTTCAGTTCCCACTCTGCCATCACATCATCTAACTGTCACAATGTTAGGTATATGGTGACTGCATGCTTGGCAGTCAGTCACAGTTCAAACTAGACCCTGCAAAACAATGGTCTGTGTGTTTTTACAGTAATTTTTAAGAACCTAATATGTGGGCATATACTATATACCTGTAGGGGCAACAGATTCTCTGTATGTTTAGTTAACAAATTATTTGTATGTATTTTTTTAGAAATCTTGAAATTGCCTTTGCACTGAAGTATTTTCATAGCTGTTTATATCTCTTTTAGGCATTTCTTTGTTAGCATACCATATCTAATTTTTAAAGTTTTTTAAGTTAGTGAAATTTTGGCCACTTATATTTAAATTCTGGTGAGGGTTTTGGCTGAATGTTTCAATATATGATGAATGTGAATTTTTCAGGTTGTTTTTATTCTTTATACCTCTTATTTGTTGATATTTCTGATGGCAGTGATTGTTGAAAGACATATTGAAAAGTACAGTAATTTTCTATGCTTTTTCTTTGCACTTCACTGCAGTTTCATCTGCTTTCCCCATTTTTGTTCATAATTTCCATTCTTCCACCTTAAAAACTACAAAGTTCTTGTTTAATGGTTAAATGTGCTGGACCCCAGTTCTGCCCTGACATTTATCACATACCTCAGATTATTCATGTCTTATAAAAGCCACTAAACTTTTACACTTCCCCAAATTTATTTTAGAAAATTATGTGTGAAATCATTAACTAGATGTGCCTAGTAATTTTAAAAATGGAAGAGGCACAAGTTTAAAAATGGAAGAAGGAAAAGAACTTTGAAATGACATTTTACTTAGAATTTAATACAATTTTGCATCTTAGAGTACTTAGTATTTACTTGCCTTAAACTACATTTAAAGCAAGTAATATCACCTTCAAGTATTTATTTTAGAAAATCTTCACAGCTGCATGTGTTTTAATAAATTGCCATTGTAAGCTACCATTTTATTCCAAATGTATGGTTCCTAATTCCCATTCCATTCCCTTAAAAACAATTCTTATAAATGCATGAGTAATCTTAATTCTTTTGCTTTCAACTTCACCTTCACACGCAGCTGTGTGCATACATGTATGCAAGCATGTATATACACAGACACATATACTCCATACATCTTGATTATCCCTGCCTTCTTCCACAAGGGATCATGAGGGGGTCACTTCGTCCACATCTGGGAAGATAAAGCTTCCTTAAACCTTCTAAGCCTCAGTTTAAGCAGAGGCTCTTCCTTGACCTGTAAGCTTTTGTACAGAAGACAGTGGGACTTGAAGCCATAGCTTCATATTACAAACAACTCATTGAAGCATATAACAATTCCTGGGAATAAGTTTGTTCCATTTCAGAGACGTTCAGCTTCCCCAGTTTAATCCACAGCAAATCTAACACTCAAATGAGGTGGCCAGGACACAGAATCTGGAAGCCACCAGCACTCCACATCATACTTGCATTCTTCTAGGAGCTGGGCTGCCACCACCGCAGGAGAGTTGTCCCCATGCCACAAGTCAGCTAGGGAAGAGCAAGGTTGCTTTTGCTGGGTGACTAATCTTAAAATCCAAGCCAGCCCATTCCTGTGCATTACTATTTGAATAAGAGAGTGAACAAAGCAAAGTGAAAATACCCTTGTGATTTGTAGCTCTCCTAAGACACTGATAATATGATGGTATGTGCCTGGACTAATAAATTGTAGATTTTGGAGATTTAGATCAAGGCAAGCAAAAAATTAATACGTTTATATGATACATTTTATATACTTCTTAGTTTGACTTGCTGAGCTTTTTGCAGCTTTAACTACAGTCTCATACATGCTGTTAAACTTTTAAATTGTTAGATATCAACCAGATGTGCAGTGCAACCTTAAGGAAGGGGTTTTTTTTTTAATCTTTTTTTAACCACTGATGTTCATATGTTTTGCACTGACTTAAAATGAATTAATGCAGCCACTTCTATTTCATCTTAATATTTATTTGACAGCTTAATAACGTGGTCTGCAGTCTCTTGCATTCTACATTTCCTTTGGAAGTTACCCATTTGTAACACTGAAACAGGAAAAATGTCAGTTGATAAATGCATTATTTTGTTAGCTGGGAGGTGAATGGGAATGAGAATCATTGATTTGTGTCTATAAACAAAGCTTTAATGAAAATGTTGAAAGTATTATGAAAGTGTGATTCTACTTTTGCAGAAAAAATATAAAGATCTGTTTATATAGCTTTATTTTTTATCTTACTGAAATCTACAGAATTTTAATATGTATGTATACATTGTCTCTGACTTAAAATTATAATATGTGTATGTATTGCCATTAAAAATGTCCATTCATTATGTAATGTAATAAAAGAGAATCTTCCAAAATGTATTTAATATGAATGGTATCTATAATTAATCATCATCAATATGAGAATTTATTTTTTAATGATTATATGT